TACAAAATATAGAGAAATAGGATTAACTACAACTAGGACCATTTATTGTCCGAGATTGCCCCATCAATAAACATCATAAACATGAATAAACCTCCACTTATTTCGGGGATTTCCCAGCCTGCCATATGTTTGATGACATGGCAAACCCCTGCCGGGAGACAATATTCAAAACGGCATCCGTTAGCAACACATGCTCGAAGGCCGTCTTTAAAGCGTACATTGTAGAAACGACTGTTCCTCAGAGCCAACGCGACACAAAGCTTCAAGTCATTGCATCAAACATCTTAAAGTGTGTCAAAAGTTTGAGATGAAAAGCTGGTTGGGGACTGAACACTATACAGCCCCACACAAGATAGACTCATAGAATTGGATGATGGGAACATTTACAGGAAAACCCATCAAATTTGATGGTAAAAACCATGGTTTCCGGTTAAGATTTTCCCAACAAAACCAATCCATTGATAGACACCGTGGTTTCCGGGATTCCGACTGTTCATCGAAATTCCAGCCGAAGGCTCTTCGGAAAGTTGATCTCGCAAACCTAGGGTGGGCGACCATGGCAGATCTTGGCAGCTATAGCATTTATAAGTACTGAGCTAACCCCATGGAATGTATCATCTCATAGAAAGAACCAGTTATTTTATAAATGGCCATAACTGGTTTGACATATATATATATATTACTACACATTTACCATGAATGTCATATATCTACAACATATATGCTGATATATATATATATATATAGACATGAACTAAATCATAAGGTCAGATTCATCAATACATCGCAGTGGCCTCAATTCACTTGCATCCAATGAAATGCATTAGTAAACAGCGGATGAATCAATATCTGTGCATATAGGTTGAACACATGAGTAACATGTGTGTCTAATGAGTTTCAATATACATCCAGCACTGCTTGGCAGATAGATTCATCATCTGTATTTGGATGCATATATGTGAGAATACCATATGTTTTTGGGGATGCACATTTATTACCACCTATTTGATGCTCACCAACGGTACAGGGATTTGACCCATCACCATTTCTAAAGGTATAGACTCCGCGCGTGCCGAGCCGAGAAACTTTGGATGGAAATTCCACCTCCAGAAATTCACAAGGCTTGAAGCAGTGTATGCCTCAGGCGCGGTAAAGATGGAGATCTGCACGAATCCCTGCAACCAACATTGATTGCACATATGTAATATATATATATAATAATTATAAAAGTACATACAAATAACTATACTGTATGTGTATAGATATATATATACAGTGTATGCAGGTGTGTATCTAATATGTATGCAATGATATACATACATAGAAAATCAATTAAACAATTACAGAGATGCATAACTTGCGCACATTCCGGACTACCTTCATGGTCTTAACTTCATGGTCGCAAAAATTGCTACCGGGGACAAGAAGGGGATATCATGAGGAAAATAGGGATAATGACTCATGACCATCAATTATACAAGGTTTTCCCAGTTGGAGAAGTTGGTTTACTAAGAGAAGTGGGTGATAACTGGGACCTGCGCACCGGATTTCAAACCATACATCCCCTACAAACAGCACTTGTTCAATGTTTGTTTATTGTCATCCCATTATTCAATGGATTGGTTTCAGGGAAATCTTACAGGAAAGCCCCATATTTAATGGGAAAATCGGATTGGTTTCCGGTTAAGATTTGTTCCCTTGAACCAATCTGGGTTCATAGGGATTCCCACTCCCCACTGGGATTTGGATCATCCGCAACTGGATAGTAACTGGTCCCTCCAATCATCAACCAACCATTTGTCAATTATACTCATACTTAACCAGTTCTCATGCTTAAATCCATAAACCTATATACTGGTTAAAGCATGTTAAAGCGCCATGGTTCCATTTGTTTCCCTATGAAAAACCAAGCAAAAATCATCTCCGCAGCCAAGGGTCTGCGCAGGTTGAGCAGCATCCCTTGGAACGTGAGTGATTCCAAGAGGTCGCAGTCTTCCAGCGACAGGTTGATTTTCCTCGAAAGAATGTGTTGGATTCATAGGGTATGTTGGTACAGGTTGGTCATGTTGGTGCATAAACGTATATCAATGATTATAAAAGATAGTGTATCATGTATGCACGTGTGTATGTATATATAATATGTGTATGTCTTATGTATATATATATAATATGTATGTATATATATATATACACATACACATTATATATATATATATATATATATCCCTATATATGTAGATTCCTGCAGGGAGCCCCTCAAACTAGCCTATCAAACTATCAATGATAGATCTAATTGTTTGTCTAGAGGCCTAGGTATGATCCAACTTACCGATCTAAGGAATCTAAGGGCCCCTGCCAGTATAATTAATAGACAAAGATAGTCTAGGTCTAGGTATCCCTTAAAATGATTCCCCAGTCCACTGGAGCGTCCGCCGGGCCGTTTTCACCAAGGTGCCCATCACAATCGATCCGGGGTAAGGTGCGCAGTCGTGCCCGCTTCAGACTGATGCTTGAGCCACCTTTGGTCATTTTCAACCTGGTGGCCACGGCAAGAGGGCTACCACTTAGCAAGAATTGATCAGTTGTGGGCAGTTGGGGTTAAGGGACGCAACTGTGGTAATTGCCGAAATAATTTGGGATGTAACCCCTAATGCACATCCAATTGTAACTGGACCTGCGCCCCAAAGTATTTCACTGTCAATGTGGATTGAATAATTGCTAAACTGTCCCGTTGTTGCCAAGTATTTAGGAATTTACATCTCAGTAGGTAGGACTTATTTTGAATGTGAGTTCGTGTAACTTGTAATGCGTATGTTTGTGTGTGTGTAAGTTAAACTAGTTAACTCCATGACCATATAAGGAACTCGGTACAATCATAACTTAATAATTCCACAAATAAATACATATATATATTATACACGACATTGTTTTGCATTGCTTTGCGGTGCATTGCATTACATTACATTGCATTACATCGCATGCATAATTGCATTACATCACATTTGCATAACATTCCACTACATTACATTACAACACATGCATACATACTTAATTACCTGCTCTACCCTTCCCTACCCGTACCCGAACATATCATCACACAACATAATCTATGAATGGCCTTCAGTTAAAACAGTCAAACTTGTAGGCAAATCTCCGGTTGTTGCGATGGTTGGATTCTGCCTTTCGGATAGTTTCGGTGAGCTCAATTCCAATTGCGATGTTTTTTTTTCCCCCCGGCGTTGCGCTAAACGAAATCCTGCTCCGGTCTCGTTTGTGCCAAGTGGGTTTGTCTGAAAATAAGGTACCTCAAAACCCAAGGGAAATGATCATTGTCCCATTTCAAAGAACTAAATTTTAGGGTACATCACCGTTTTCAGACACACCCATATATCATATTGTCAGTTTCATATGTATGTATCTATATATATATAGATATACATATATAGATATACATATATATACATATATATATATATTCGATTGTATCACCATTATATTCTATTGAATCATCATTTTTCATGAGTTAAATCCCATTCATGGCACATAATCAAGTGACAATTTGCCGTGGAAGTAGGTCTCCTCGCAAACCACCTTGTCAAAGGGCAAGGTCACATCTCCTGGAAAGCGCCACGCGGATCGGATCCCAGGTTTACCATCCATTTTTTTACCCTCTGGTAATGACTAACAGTTTGCTATTGAACATTGCCATTTATAGCTGGTTGGTGGTATACCTACCCCTCTGAAAAATATGAAAGTCAATGCGAAGGATTCGTCCATATATTATGGAAAATAAAAAATGTTCGAAACCACCAACTAGATAGTTGATTTACCCATTGAAAAATGGTGATTTACATAGTTATGGGACAGTTTACCAGAGGGTAACCCATATTTCGTCCCATATAGGGGATATTCCATATAAGTGAAGGTATAACCCATTGACTACGGCTATGATATAAACATAAACCCGATAGTTAATGTTAATGGCTATAATCCAACTGACCCATCGTTTGGGGGCCCATGACCCAAAATAAATCAACCAGCACAGGTGTCATGTGGATTTTGTTAAAGTAGATTGATATACATCACGCAGCGTATTTCAGGCAATTTCAATCTGATATGTCTGAAAACACGTTCAACATTGCCAAACTTAGTTAGATACCCTGCAAAAAAAATCAACAGTTAGATGGTTAGTAGATATTCCCATTCATAGCGAAAGATTAGACGAATAAATTACTCATCAAGTTGGTTCACCCAGTCAATATCAGGCTGTGCCTCCAGGGGATTGGGAATCCACTAGGCCCCATTAAGGGCCCCTCCCCAAACACAATTCGTGTGGCCAACTTTCCGAAAGTGGCTCATTTCAATGTCATGTCACGGTTATGGTATC